ATCTGTGCCTTACAGTCCAGCAGCAGATGCGAATCGTCAGAACCAGGCAAACATTCTGTCGAAAAATTAAACGAGCTCTGTCTGCTATTTTTGAGCCATAAAGTTATGTTAACAGGCGAGAATGCCATTAATTCCGTGTCTAAAAGCACAGCTCCTCTCTAAATTAAGGTCATTATCCTGTAACAAGTTACGCGTTTCATCCGCCAATTTCAACACTGTAGCCCGTGTTTCGTATCAAAAACTATTACTTCAGATATTTCATCTTGATGCCTGTCCAGCTACAGTAGATTCTCTTCCAGTAGCTGACAAAGTTTTATTGTTATTTATTTCCATCGGATGATAAAACGTCATCATCTTTATTAACATTCATCATCTTTATTAACCTTATCAGAGGCACATTTACATGATAATTGCGCAATATTATCCCGGATATCACCAACAGCTTTATCAAAGTCAGTAAAATGAGACCATTTCTGGCAAAACATATTTCTAGGACGCATTCACACATTGCTGAGTCACTTTTTAACAGTTAAATCAACATTATTCATATACATTCTAATATCATAGTTCTTGTGAATTGTTTGACGCTTGCGACATCATCAGTATCCAACCTGTCATAATGCTTAGCATCGTCAGCTGTGTAAATAATAGGCCTTAAAAGCCGCGATGATCCCTGATCCAATTTTTGGAATGATGTGACACTGAGGTGAAAAACTGCAATGTACTCAACCTCTTCAACATTCTTCAGATGACTTGAAGCATGACCAAAATTGAGTGTTCTGTTATTGAGACTGTTCTTGATATAATATTTAAAAGGAGGGGTGGAAGGAATGTGCCTAATAATGCACGACAACTTGGGAGTCCACGCAAATCTTTTTACAATATACCAGAGTATTTGCAGCTTTGTTTTCAGGATTTGCTTAGTTACTAGATAGTTTTGCAAATAACGAATCAAAAATTGCCTTAACTTAAGGCCACATTCCAGACTGCGAATGAAAACAGACAT